ACTCAGCAGACGGGTTTCTCTTAATCTAAAAAAAAAGTTGGGATTACCATTAAAAAATGGTGAAGGTGCTATGATTGAATTAAATTCACTTCATTTGTCCACAATTATCAGGGTATTTATTTCTGATGATATTTAAACGGCCCTTATACTTTCATATATGTTTTTGATTTCCACAATCCTCTCCTTTTATGTTTTGTTTTATTTTTACTGCAGGTAAATCTAATGGAAGCTCATCCATTTACCTGTTAATCTAAGATACATCGTTAAAGTATTTTCGCTCTTATATGTCACAATTTGCCAAGCAAAATTCGCTTACATCGAACTCAAATTCATCAATGTCGTTTGACTTTCGGATGTCAACAAACTCTGCAAAATTGATGGTCTGAAAAAGCTTTTAAGCTGCCAACGGCACATGCAGAAACTCCCAAAAATTTTTGAACCCTTCGAAATCGTTATTTCAATGTAAACAATTCAATTGCATAAATATGCCAAAAGAGAAATACAATAAACTTTTTTTTTGTGTTGGGTTGGTGAAGGCGAGAAATAAATTTCTAACAATTTGATTCAATCAGAATCGTAACGATATCCAATACTGGAAAACGGAATGCCTTTGTCACCTTTATAAGAATGGAAACTTTGCCGAAAAGTTATTTAAAACATTTTCCCTTTTCCCTGTTCTTTTCACCATTTTCCATCCCAGACTTTTCTTCATTGTTTGCGCTTGAAGAAAAATGCGTTTTTCATGCTAATGTCAAGCCTTAATAGACGGGCCCCTCCCACTTTGGGCCTCGGAAAATCCTTGTAGAGAGGCGTGGCACTCCCACCTTTGCCAAACATGTGTTCAGAGATTTTCCGGTGGCATTTCCATTTTGGGGATAACCGAGGAGTTGGGGGTCATCGTTGCCTGAGTTATTTCACTCTGGAGAGTTTCCGATTGGACTGGTTTGAGTTTGGGCCGATTTCATTTTATTGGGAGGGCGTGATTTGCGGAATAGCCTAGGAAAATGTAGCCAATTTTCAAAAGTTTTCTCATGAAGCATTAAATTGACCTAAATAGTCTTGAGCGACACACCAAGTGCTTACATAAATTTCTTTTAAATAATTTACTTTGATTACCTGTGGAGATGTGCTATTTTAAAGTGGGAAATCACTTTAGATTTCTTTAAGAAACCTTACAGAATTTAATTCAAGTTATGATATAAAACCTTGCAAAGTAAGGCAGTTTTATTTTATTTTTTTAACGTAATATGCTTACAAAAAATGTGTAAATATTTTATTCTGAATTTTAGTTTAAGCTTTTCGTTGTGTGCGAAATAATCCTCTCTATTTGGAGTTTAAATTCTTGCCTAAACTGGATTTTGCTTTCACCGTGTTGACCAATTAATTGGAATTTCCATTCATTGCTCGCCTTGTTTATCCACAATATTGGCCACTGCTGAGTCCTCCATCAAATGAAAACAATAAACATAACTTGGCTCTAAAGATGTGGCCTTTGCCTGGGCCACAAATAAGCAAATAAACACAGGGAAAATAGTTCAAGCAACTTTGGAGAAATGCAACAGCTGGAAAGCCCATAACCAAAACTGCCAAACAAAGATCATTTTGAAATATATGTATTTAACATACATTGTGATGACGTCTTTTTTACGGTATATTTACTTTGCTCGTTGATGTAAGCATAAAAAATATTTATTAACTGACTCGGAACAGAAATGTTGACTTGACCCCTGACCGCAGAGCAGGCAAGGATTTGGATTTCAGCATGTTTGCACTGGCTTCGAGTTCAGTTTGGGAGCAGTTCGGACAGGACAATTGATGGACAAACATATTAGATATGTATATATATATGTCTATATATATGGGGTGTGTATTTGCGTGTGTCCAAACGCAGACACTACAACTATAGTTCAGTTAACTAAAACATACACCCAAGTGCACACACACGACAGTTATTTGCTTTTATGGCAGACTGAGCCTTCGTCCCCCTTTCCTGTCTGCCCAAATCTGGACATGTTGTGTACGTCAGTTGGTTGAACAGTTTATCCTGCATATAAACTTCAACAACATACACAACATGCTCCCGGTTGAGACCCCCTATATCCCCTATATACCCATCCATCCCCCCAATGCATTGGCCTACAACTATTTCCGCTTACTGCTAAACAAATCCCAGCTAGCAAAACATTTCGGCTCGGTAACAATGGACGCACAACGGTACGTATACGCAATATTGGCAGTTGGCATATTATTGGAGTTTCGTCATTCAATTGACGGATTGAAGGGGATGGTTTGAATGGATTGAGTGGATTGGTTTGGGTAAAGTTAGCTGGAGAGCAAAGCACAAGCCAAGTCTTTAACCCAGGCTCATTTAATATGTTGACAAGTTGATAAATTGTTTTGCATGAACATATTTTGCCTTCGGGTGAATCGTTTAATTGGACTGAGAATTGAGTGGGTTGACACGGAATCGAAGCTGACAATTGACTTTTTGATAGATTTGGATGGAGAGTAGGGATGGGGGATTTGGGTATGATAGTATAGACACAAAAGTATAATATTACTTTTAGTTTTACTATTGATTCGTTAGCATAAGCGACATTTACTAAATTTTAATGGTGCAACTCTTTTATCCTGGATTTAAATAATATAACTTCGTCCTTTATTTGTTCTTTATAAGTAACAACTTGCATGTCTAGGATGTTATCCCAAGCAGATGAGAAAAATTTTATTTGATTACCAACCCGCAAAATCGAATTAAATTTGCTGTTACTTCGAGAACTGTTGCTCCACATATCCACAGATTTGAAAAAGAGGGTGCTAAGTGATAAAAGAGATAGCGCAAAAAAAGGCAAGTGTGGCATAAAAAAGTCTGCGTAAAAAAGATGTCACCAGCTGTCGCAGGCAATCTTAATATTTGATGTCGAAACACGCAGCGAGGAAGCAGCTGTGACCCCAATACAATGTTGGGGATAGGAAAAACCCACCCATTCCCAGGGTTCCACACAAAACACCAAACATTAACAATTTAATGTATTTGCCAAAATAAAATGCATAAATTTGATATGCTAAATTAAACCTGCAGAAAAGATACCACTTAGAGTGGACTATGTGGTCCTGCATACGAAATCAGTTGGGTATAGTTGATTATAATGATTATGGCGATGGACTGGGCTTGATTTTCATGTGATTTACAAGGGCCCTAAATGAAAAGTAGGGGTTTCTCTCTTTGGGCAGATGAGATGCCATTGTAAAATGCCAGAAACAATTTAATGCTTCATTGATAACCGCACATATGCGACCCCTGTGACTGACAGCCCAGACTTATCTTGGTTTTCCTTTCTTTTCTTTTCACTTTTTGTGCTTTCCCCCTCCAAAACTTGTCGTCAAACGAAATCGAACCGAAGAAAAGAACGAAAAATACATCGCAACTGTGCGATAAACATATGAAAAATGCACATGCGGTGGGCCAAGTTCAATTCCAGAGGCCAAAAGTTTACGCCACTTAATAGAACTTGACGCAAATTCAATTACAACATGGCTCCTCACACCCGGAAACTCACGGCCCCGGTTGCCGGAAAAACTTGCGAAGAAATTTGCGGAAAAACGTTGGCAGTCAACTTTTAGCCTTAAGCCGAAAAAGGAAGGCAATTTTTCCACACCCCAGATTTTGGGTATTACATTTACTTCAATAGTTTTAAATTGGGGTCGTTAACTAATGAGTTTTAGTCCAAAATATTGACTTTAAAATAAATATGTTTGCTACATTTTTATTCAATTTGTTGTCATGAATCATAAAATTCATTATAGAAATCTAATTTATTAATTAAGAAAATATTTTAGCATTGAGTGAAATCTACATTTCTTTTCTACAGTTTTTTGTAAACGTTGCCAACGCCAAAGGCTGTTTTTAGATAAAATAGTGAGGGGTTATTGAAAGGAATTCCACTTGGAATCGAAGTTTTTCCCGAGTTGCGGACTTGTGGGCTGGCCCCTTACTTTGGCTACACTTTTACTGCAATTAGCAAATAAAACTTGGCTTATTTTCGGTGGGTAAATGAGGCGTGGTTCGGTCGGTCGGGCGCCTTGAGAAACTTTTGCAATCACTTTCGTTTGCATTCATTATCGGCGAAGGGAAAAAGGATTTGACTGCCAGCTTTCTTTGGGCTTGGGTCAACTGAAAAGTCAACGATAGGATATACACTTATTTAGTTGGAAAAGTTTTTGTTTTAGCCATTGATTTTACTAATGAAACTTTAGAGTGGGATTTGTATTATGAATGTGCATCTATTAGTTAGTTATTGCTAAGTACAAATTTCTTTAAAAGGTTTATTTTCTTTTACCACGATTTCAGTATTTATTTCAGTAATTACTATTTAAAATACATTTATGAATTAAAATATATCTTACTGCTTGTAATTTTTTTTATAATGTTTACCTATTTATAAAAGGTATATGTACATTTATTTTTCATAATTTTGGGTAAGTTGGTAATTCGTATACGGTGGAGCATTTCCGATTTTTCGCCCACCAAAAAGCGATATTTGGCAACTTGCGTTCAAAATAAATTAGTAGCAACGGAAAACTAAAAAATCATTATAAAGTATTTGTCATATAAACTAAATCATTATTTTTCTGGGGATTCATCTCTAAAAATAATTAGTTTTAAATGACATGAAACATTTTAAAAAAACCCATTTAGTACATTCACATAAAATTTATAAATGTTATGTCGTCATTACATTTTTAAATAATTCGTGATGACGCAGACATCTCCCTGGAGAAATTTGAGAGAAATTTATTTTGATGTTATATACATTTCAACTAACTTTAGTCCGTTTAGAATTCTGTGTGTCACCCCGATATTGTGGAATTAGCTATTCATCTCGCCTCGTGGAATCGTTGTTTTTATCAGTCTCGCACGGCTTATAAAACAAAGACCTTTTTTTATTTTATATTCAGTTTATTTTTAACTTTCGCCAATAGTGGTTGTCTCGTATATAATGCTCAAAATCAAGACATACATTTTGATGGCATTCATTGCCTGGAATCTAAACGTATCCGAGGCAAAATCAATAAATGCTGACCAGAAGCGCAAGCACAGAAGGTTGGCTGATATATCACCATCGGAAGATCATGTCGGTAATCAGCTTAGACCTGATGTCCTGAGGAAAACCCTGCCGAAATTGGACTTGATGGAAGGCAAGCTGACGGGATTGGAGAAACAGTTGGCAGCCCAGCAGTTACTCTTACAGGAGACTTTAAATAAAACCGATCCAAAGGACTTCGTGGAGAGACTCAGTGGGATTGAGGATCAAAATAGAGATATCCAGCAGTTAATTCTAGACCAATCAGCAGCACAATTTAATGATAGAAAAAGGCAGATAACTCTGATTGAAAGGAAAATGGGAAACCCCCAGGAAGCCTTGCAGGAAATTGGAAACAGAATTTCACAGGACCTCGTAAAGCCACTGAGAAGGCTAGGTAGACTGCAAGCCGATATGGAAACGAAGATAGAAAACCTACAACGAGTTTTAGAAAACAAAATTACAGACCAACCTACTTCTTCACTACAAATAAAAAGGAACATTCCACAGGATTTCAAAGGGGCACTGGATAAGATGGAAAATAGTGTGGAAATTATGCAAATAGCTCTTACCAGTATGGCGCATTTCGTAAAGATTGGCACCCGTTACTTCTATATCGAGACAAAAGTTAAGCAAAATTGGTTCAAGGCTAAGAACTCTTGTCGTGAAATGGGCGGCTATTTAGCCGCCATTAAAAACAAAGAGGAACTCGATGAACTCGATCAAAAACTAATCAAACCAGAACACTACTGGCTCGGCATTAACGATAGGGATAATGAGGGCGTATACGTATCAGATGCTTCCGGAAAGAAAGCCACATTTTTACGCTGGCAAGAGAAACAACCTGACAATTTCAGAAATAACGAGGATTGCATTAACATCTCGTCCATCGCATATCTTCGTAGATCGATGAACGATCTCCCCTGCGAGGAGGAACATTATTTCATTTGCCAATTTGACAATGAAATTTAAAAAACAATAACTATAATTTCTTAATTAATTATTAACATTTAATTAATTTAAACTTTTTTACAAGATTCTTAATTGTAGACATTAAAATTAAAAACATTTTTTTGCATAATTAAAAAAGTTACAAACAAAAAACTCTAAGCTACTGGGTTATTACTTATTTATTCTTACTCAAATATAATAATAATAGTAATAGGCGCCCTGAAGCGCCTCCGTTTGGTAGATTTTTGAACTAATACTTATACATCTACATAGACATGTATGTATAAAACTATTGCTTCGGTTGTCGCCTGCCCAGGTGGCGCCACTCTCCGGTTTTAGACAGACGGAAACAGATTTTAAACGAAAACGGAAGCAATATTTGGCAAACCGAAGTATAAACACCCTTTCAGATTTTATAAAATATCTTTAAAAACCACTTAGTTTTGCAAATTGTATCCAATCATTCCTGTGAAAGCTTTAGGATGCAGGCGTTCGATTGGGGCAGTTTTTTAAATTCGTATGCGTACATTTTTGGTGGCTGAGCAAAATTAAATTATATGCAGCGGTATAAAAAAATTGTGCAAATTGGAAAAATTGTTGGAATTTGATATGTCTTACAATCCTTAAAATTAAAGAATTTGTTTAAAAACGAATAAAAAATAAACAGAATAAATATAAATGATTCAAACCACGAAAACCACCAAACCAATTGCCAGCCACGTGGCAAACTTATCCTAAAACGAAAGCAATAAACCAAAAATACCTCAATTTTCACTGATTATAATGGAATTTTCTCCCAGGTCTTCTATAAATACGTGACCATTTCTGGATTTTGGGTCAAAGTGACGACAACGAACGATGCAGTCGTTACAAAAACTCGGTCTGGCTCTGACCTTAGTGCTAATTTTGTGCCTCACCAAGAGTCTTGCGGAATCAAATAGATGGAGAAAGTCGGTGCAACTGAATCTGCACAGGGAAAAGAATCACACCAAAATTTTGAGGAGTTTCGAAAACCAAAAGTTGAGACTTAAGGAAAAACTAGACCCAACCACAGATACAACTTTGACCTCGCTATCTGTATCCGAAACATCTGGGGCAAAAGACAACTTGATTAATTCTCATAATACGGAGTACTATGTAACAGCTGATTTTGGCACCCCCAAAACTCAGAAGGTCACCCTTCTTCTAGACACGGCTTCAGCAAATCTATTGGTTTATTCTTCGAAATTTGTGAAAGCATCCTGTTCGCAACACAATGGTTACAACTCTAGTGAATCCCTTACATATCAAGCCAATGGAACTGCCTTTCAAATACAGTTCGCATCGCAGGACGTTCTGACGGGAATCCTATCCACGGATACCTTTACATTAGGCGACTTGGCTGTTAAGAATCAGACCTTCGCTGAAATAAATACAGCGCCTCAAAGCTTGTGTAAACGCTCGAATTTCGATGGTATCCTTGGATTAGGACTTCCGGAGATAGCGCTTGATGGGGTGACGACCCCTCTGGAAAATATTGTGGATCAAGGACTCATCAATGAACCCATTTTTTCCTTCTTCGTCAACCGAAATGCTTCGGATGCGAGTAATGGTGGTGTGCTGCTGCTTGGAGGATCGGATCCCACACTTTATAGAGGATGTCTGACGTATGTACCACTTTCCAAAGTGGCCTTTTGGCAGATCACCGTGGGCCAGGTTAAGATAGGAGGTAAAAAACTATGTTCCAACTGCCAGGCCATCTTCGATGTTGGAACCTCTTTGATAATTGTTCCGTGCAAGGCTCTTAAAATCATAAACCAAAAATTGGGTCTTAAGAAAACTGATTTAAAAAATGGAGTCCATATAATTGACTGCAGTAAGGTCTCTAGTCTGCCGAATATCGTCCTGAATATTGGATGGAAGGACTTTACCTTGACCCCGTCCGACTACATTCTGAACTACACTGGAACCTGCGTATCTGGTTTTTCGAGCCTCTCTGACTGCAGTGCAGATCAAACTAAAACCAATGATGATGGCGAGGATTTGAATGAGATATGGGTGTTCGGCGATGTGTTCTTCGGGGCCTTCTATATACTTTTCGATTTTGGCTTCAAACTCATCGGCATAGCTCCGAAAGTGTAAACTTTTTACACAGTTTCTAGTTCCTAAGAAAATTTATGAAGGTACTTCTTTTCGTTTTGGAAATATTATTATTTGGTGGTGGGCAAGCATTTCTCAGCAATGTACAAAATATAATCGATTTTTATATGAAATATTTAAAATAGTTTTAAGGCGATTTAATATGTTAAAAAATAAAGTGGTTGTGGAAAAAGCAAAAACAGTGTTATATTTATGGTACCTACTTAGAAAGAAAAAAGATTCGTTAAAAGGTAATTTTGCTTGTCATTTAACCAATCCCCCAAAAAATAAATCAAATGATCAAAACAAAATTTTCTATAGCAAACAATTTGTATACAACCAACTTAAGTTTGTTATCTTTGGCGTCCAAAATGTGCAATTACTTTCGAGACTTTTTCAAGGAAGGTTCGCTGATTTACTGGGAAGTTTATCTAAAATCCCAACGGCTGAATTTAATTGCTTCGGTTCTCATTTCATACACGGCACCAACCCGTGTAAACAAAGACCAAGATCGATAAGGACTATCGATCAAATTTGATATCTTCGTCCAGTGCGCTTTATCGATTGGTGATCAATTTTGGACTTATCACCGACCATATAAATAGCAGTAGCCGATCGATTTGTTCTTCAGTCTAGCCCCAGACAATAAAAAGGGCAGTAGCAGTATATCTTGGGAAAGTTTAAAAAATAAAATAATAAAATCAAAATGTTTAAGTGGCTGGTTTTGTTGACCATCCTGGCCTTGGTCAGTGCTGAAATCCAGCGTATCAAGATCCACAAGAATCAGGATCATAAGAACACCCGTCAGAGTCGCAAACAGGCCATTCAGGCCCTGAAGCACAAGTACCACCAGACGGACGATATCATCATCTACGAGGATGGAGTTCCGGTTTATGTCCAGCCCGATTATGGATATGACTACCCCAGTGAGAACACTGATGACTATACAAACGAGGAGCTCGGTAACTCGATGAACATGTATTACTATGGTGAAATCAGCATTGGTACTCCACCGCAGTACTTCAATGTGGTCTTCGATACGGGTTCCGCCAATCTGTGGATCCCATCGGCCCAGTGCCTGGCCACCGATGTCGCCTGTCAGCAGCACAACCAGTACAATGCCAGTGCCTCCTCCACTTTTGTGTCCAGTGGCCAGAACTTCTCGATCCAATATGGAACTGGTAGTGTCACCGGCTATCTGGCCATAGATACAGTGACCATCAATGGTCTAGCCATAGCCAATCAGACTTTTGGAGAAGCAGTCTCGCAGCCGGGAGACAGCTTCACCGATGTGGTTTTCGATGGCATTCTGGGTATGGGCTACCAGCAAATCGCCGAGGATAATGTGGTTCCTCCTTTCTACAATCTCTACGAACAAGGTCTCATTGATGAGCCAGTCTTTGGTTTCTATCTGGCCAGGAATGGTACCGCCGAGGAGGGTGGCCAGCTGGCCTTGGGTGGAACCGACCAGAGTCTCATCGATGGTGAGATGACCTACACTCCTATTACCCAGGAGGGCTACTGGCAATTCAGCGTGAACAACATCACGTGGAACGGAACCGTGGTTTCTAATGGCTCCCAGGCAATTGCCGACACTGGTACCTCTCTGATTGCCTGTCCTCCGGCTGCCTATATCCAGATGAACACCCTGATCGGCGCCGTTTTCATCGAGGGAGACTACTACGTACCTTGTTCCACTGTGGACTCCCTGCCTGTGCTGACCTTTAACATTGGCGGCACCAACTTCGATCTGCCCCCCTCGGTTTATATCCAAACCTACACGGAGGGCAACTACACCTCCTGCATGTCCACTTTCACCTATATCGGAACCGATTTCTGGATCCTGGGCGATGTCTTCTTGGGTCAGTACTACTCCGAGTTCGATTTTGGACAGAACCGCGTGGGTTTCGCCAATCTGGCTTAAATATTGAACAAACGAACGAACGAAATGATTATTATCTAGGTTTACAATGGTTATAAAAATACAAAAAAATATAAATAAATGCTTAGTAACATGCAATTAATTTGCTTTTTGATTTTAGTATAAACAATTTGTCTTATCATTAGATTTTTAAAGATTTCTATGATTTCCCTGAACAAGCTTTACACATTTTTGAGTTATTGAACCTTTTCGCCCCACTGTAAATATATTTTCTTTACGCATAATACGCGATTGGACACATTCTCCAAAAATGTTGGACTTCAAGCATGCTCTGTATTATCGCGTGTGAAATTCTTGGTTATATTGTGTGAAGCGATTGACCTCAGCTGCAGAACTTAAACTATCTCAGAGAACCAAACCAAGTCAAGCTGCAGAGGTATAAATACGTGACCAAATAGGCCTCAATTGGCAATTGAAGTCTGGGATCATGAAGGTCAAGTGGAACAATTTTAAGTTACTGCTGTTTTGGCTAACAGTCTTAACGCTCTTCGCCTTCAAAGTGGATGCCCGCAAACGTCTTAAAATTGGATTGCACAAGAATCCTGAACCAATTGAAGAAAATGTCATGAACGAACTTAAGACCCTGTCTATAAAGCACAATCTGAAAGTTGACAATACAACTTCTTCGAAATCGCATACAAGGGATTCCGGATCAAAGCTCGCCAAACTAGAAAACCTCTATAACACGGAGTATTATACCACTATAAAAATTGGAAGTCCTCCACAGCATCTTAAAGTGCTAATCGATACGGGTTCGGCGAATCTCTGGGTGCTTTCAAGTAAGTGCCCAGACACGGTAAAGCCCTGTGCGAATCAAGTTAAGTACAATTCAAGTGCTTCCACAACTTATAAGGCTATTAATAAAGCATTCACTATTGAATATGGAGCGGATTCGAATGGAGGAAATATTGCACTCTCTGGTTTTGAATCCGAGGAAACGGTAAACATAGCTGGATATTCCATACAAAATCAAGTTTTTTCCGAAATCACCGATGTCCCCGAAACCGCATTTCTCAAGTCAAAGTTCGTTGGAATATTCGGCTTGGGTTTTTCCAGCATATCCATCAATGGTATTACACCGCCCTTCTACAATTTATGGACTCAAGGTCTGATAAAAAAGCCTGTGTTTTCCATTTACCTAAATAGAAATGGCACAAGTTCTGTTAGTGGTGGGGAGCTGATTTTGGGAGGCATTGATTCGGGTCTGTACAGTGGATGTTTGACCTATGTGCCTGTTTCAACAGCAGGCTACTGGCAATTCACCATGCCCAGCGCCAAAGTGAATGACTTTAATTTCTGTGAGAATTGCGAGGCCATACTTGATGTAGGCACTTCCCTAATTGTTGTGCCCGAGAATGTCCTGAGTACTATCAATCAAATATTGGGTGTTCTTAACCCAAAGGATAACACAAATGTCTTCTTAGTAAATTGTTCAAGGATCAGCGAACTTCCGGATATAATCTTCACCATTGCCCGCCGTGAATTCCGCTTGAAGTCCTCCGATTATGTGCTGCGATATGGAGCCACTTGTGTTTCAGGTTTTAGCAGCATGAAAGGCAACACTTTGTTGATTCTGGGTGAAATCTTCTTGGGAGTCTATTATACGGTCTATGACATTGTCTACAAGCTTATTGGACTTGCACCAGCTGTACATTAATTTTAATCTTTTGAAAATGTATTTAGTCTGCTCATAATTTTCATATTTATCTACTCAAGCATGTACTAACAAAATTATTTTTATTAAGAACACATTTTTTATTCCATTAATAAATATTCCCCCTTTTGAAAAACTAAAGCCACACCCGTGTTAATTTAATTTGCGTATCAATCAGTTTTCTCTATAAATCACATATCCCAGTTCAAGTCTCATGCTTTAACCCACTTTACGTGTGAATTTAAATAAATACGAAAAAGATAAATTCCACATGGCGAAACTATAAAAACCGGGGCACCGACTAGGAAACGAACCAGTGAGCCAATATGAACTTACGTGTGATTATCCTATTTTTCTGCCTGATCATCTTTGTGGATGGTAGGAAAGTACACAGGTTTCGACTGCAGAGGCGCTCCCATCGACACCACAAAGCTCCCCATTCTCATTTTCATCTGCAATTCCGTAATGCTCTAAGAAGAAAGTACGGATACACACCACTTCGTACAGTGAATGCCGTGAATATAACTAGTGATCCGAGTAAAGGAGTAGTGCTAGCAGAACCCTTGATTAACTCCTATGACACCAACTTTTTCGGTGTTATATCGGCTGGAGAACAACCCTTTACCATGCAGTTCGACACAGGATCTTCGGACCTTTGGGTACCCAGTTCCCATTGCAGGTTTTGCATCAAAAAGTGCGGCTCCAAGTTCTTCAGGGAATCCAAGTCAAAAACCTTTCGAACAAATAATATCCCATTCAGCATCACCTATGGATCGGGATCTGTGAAGGGCATTGTGGCTTCGGACGAGGTTGCCTTCGGAGATTTAAAAATCCAGAATCAAGGCATTGGTTTGGTCAACATTTCCGACTCCTGCTCCGTTTTCGATGGAATTGCAGGGTTTGCTTTTCAAGAACTTTCAATGACCAATTCCGTACCAGTTTTCCAGCAAATGATTGACCAACATTTGGTGGAGCAGCCCATATTTTCGTTCCACATGAAGAGTGGTTCTAGCGACGGTGGTTTAATGATTCTCGGTGGATCGAACTCCAGTTTATACTACGGTCCTTTGACCTACACAAATGTAACGGAGGCCAAGTACTGGACCTTTAAAATGGATTACATTGAGGTTCATAGCAAAAGCTCAAGACGTTGCGAATCGGGATGCAAGGCCATTATGGATACGGGAACCTCACTGATCGTTGGTCCTGTAATGGACGTCCTCTATCTGAACAAGGCCATTGGAGCCGAGCATAATGACACATATGATCTGTATATTGTGGACTGTGCCACAATTCCCCAACTTCCGATAATTGTGTTTAGCATCGCTAATAAGGAATTCTACGTAAAACCACAAACCTATGTGATTGTGTATCAGGACTTTTGCTTCTCCGGCTTTATGGACATGCGGGGTCTGGACCACTGGATTATAGGCGATGTCTTCCTGAGGGAGAATTATGTGGAGTTCGATTGGGCTAGGAAAAGACTGGGCATAGCACCAGCTGTTTAATTGAAATTGTTAAAAGTTTAAAATGTTATTCTATTATTAAAACCAACACCTTTTGTGTAAATTTAAATTTTAATTAGAAAAATATATAAATGGAGCAGATATATTATTGCATCTACATTTTTAAGTGATCAAAGGTTGGACTTTAATTTTGTTAACCAGTTTGTTAATAATTTTATAAGTAGAGTGAGATGTACAGATAAATCAAGTTAAAAGTTTATTAAAAAAAAGTGATGTTAAAAAGTTAACTTGGCTTGAAGACCAATTAAATGGGGAACGTTAAAGTCTGACCTTTGATTTGATGAACATATTAATGGATCTTATTTGTGACCTCCTGCTGAAGGTTCCTTTCCGGTGGGTGGAGTTGCTCTTCCTCCGCCCGACTGACAACCATTGCCCCCGAAAATGCCGCGTGGCAAACGAGGCTGTTGCAGTTGCTGCTGCTGCTGCAACTGTTGTTGCAACTGTCGCAGTTGCACCTGCTGCTGAAGCTCCAGATTCTTATAGAGCATGGCTGCAGCGGCTGCAGCATTATTTGCATTCTGCTGCGAAGATTGTTGCGGATGTTGCTGATGGTGCTGCTGATTTGAGCGCAGATTGCGGGCCATAAGTTGCTGGTAGAGCAAGGCAATATCATTGGGATTGGAATGGGCCAATCCTGCCAAATCGCCAACACTTGGTGTTGCTCCAGGACGATGTTGATGTTGCTGCTGTTGCTGCTGCTGCTGTTGCTGCTGATGATATTGCTGTTGCTGCTGTGGCAGCCCACCCTGCTGCTGCATCGTTTTTTGCGGCAAGTGCTGATTATGATGCTGATTGTGCGATGGATTTAGCTGCGGTTGAGGCGGTTGCTGATGACGCATCTGTTGGTAAAACTGCGGAAATGGTATCTCGTTGAAATTGTTCACCGAGTTGCGATTGTTGTTGTTGCTATCGACGCCGAAAGGGCGATGTTGTTGTTGCTGCTGCTGCTGAGGTGGCTGCCTTTGTTGTTGCTGATAGCCGCCACCCTAAAATATAAAATATGTCCGCTCATCAAAAAGTCAATCAAATATCAAAATAAATTGTTAAAACTAAAAAGAAGGAAACAAACGTAACCCCTTAAAACACAGCTTATAATCGCGCCTGTTTGAACATATCTTACCCCCGAAAAGTTGGACCCCGAGTTGGAGGTGGCACGTTCTTGTTCCGCAGCTTGTCGTCTTTCATATAGGGGCACCGACCTGTTGGATCGTTCATATCCCGGTGATGGAATCCAAGCTTGACTCACCATCGATCCCAGGCCCGCCAAGCAGTCCGCGTCCTTGGGAAAGTCAAGGAAGTTCTCCCCGAAGAGCGAATAATTCTCGGCGGCCCTGAAGAAATTATGAGTGCCATATTCCGGATAACCGGTGGTATCTCCGTAAAGAGCCCGCTCCACCTCAGTTATGTAGATGCTGGCATTATCGTTAGCCGGTGACTTTTTTACAGATCCCATTCCTGATCCCGAAACGGATCCTGATCCTGATCCGGAAACTGATCCCGTTCCAGATGAAGTTTCAAAGTTGGGCACAGGTGGCTCAACGGGTTCCACGACTCCCAAGCTAACATCATTGGGCGTTACGGCCCAGATTTTCTTGGCCAGTTGACTCGATATATTGGCTAAAAAGTACACACATACTGATTAAAAAATGCATGCGTGACCTTGAAATGTTCTAGAACAATACCTTGAGCAGCAGCCTCAGCTTCCCTGTCTTCCAGTTCATCAAATACAAATTGGCCTTTGTTAGTGGTATTCTCGGACATCGTGAGATTTTCAATGGAAACACTATAAATTTGTATCTGTTAGTAAAATACCCAAAACTGGAAATTTTCTACCTTTGCCTGCTGTATCTCGCAGCTCACTGAATGAAAATCGAATAAAAACCTCAAGCCGGTAGGGCGGTTACTGAATACAAACCCAAACAATTCGCACTTCAATATGCGTTTGTTTATAAACAGAATTAATTCGAGCTTGGATTACCGCGTACCGCGTAAACAATTAATTTATTTGGTGTAGTGTGCAGCTAAACACATGTCAGATTCCTGGAAATCGCGAGAAAAAAACAGCGTGGTCGGCGAAAAAGTTTCTGACATAAAGTTGATGGGCAGCATTGATTGTCGTCTTGCAAATGTTTAGATAACTACACTTTGGTTACACTTTTTTCATAAATACATACATACATACGTATGTAATTTTGTAGTGGTTACTTTTTATTAATAACAAATTAATTAACTCTAAAATTGAAAATTAAATTAAAGAATGATTTGAGCTCTTTACCAACCTTTGACGATATTTGGTATATATGTCCAAATAACTCCTTTTTAAGATCAAGTCTTTACACAAAAATTAAAGTGATTAATACGCACGGACTAAACTTCCGGAAACAGCGCAGGCGCAACTGTCAAAAAGTGGATTAGTGTGACCGTTTTACCTCAAAACGTTCTTTTTATTTACCCGCCAAACAATGCACCCATATATACATTTGAATATTGTTTGGAATAACAATCCTTGTCACTGAAAAACAAAAACATGAAGTTTTGCGCAATGAATATTCTGACGTATTTGTCAATAATAATTACGTAGCATTCGAATTATTGTCACTCACGAAAATCGGCAAATAGTTGTTATCATCAACAGTAATTTCTTTATTTAAAAAGGATTAACAAAGCTGTACACAAATACTACATAATGGCCCCTAAGCTAAAGTTTCAAAAATGCGACAGCGCAAAAGTTTAGCATATAAAAGTCAGTTTACAGGTTCTGTAATCGCATAACAAAATCCAGCTCCAGCGCCGCACAATTTAACTGGTGGCAGTTCTAAAAGGGTCGGTGTGCATCTGCAAAAACAATACAATTTTGAATTAAAATTCTTTTGATTTAAGAACTGAATTCTTACACATTTTCGGTGCTGTTGTTCCCGCAATTTCCGTGTTCGTTCCATCCCCAGGTGTAAACCTGTCCGCCCGTACTCCTCAAAAGTCCGTGTTCGGCGCCCATATGAATTCTAGCCGTGCTCTGATCCTCTGGAAGCTTCAGGCGAAGTGGTGTTGGTATAGCCTGCTGCTCGCTAAACGCACCGATTCCCAGTTGACCATAGCAATTGCGACCCCACACAAGGATCTCGTCGTTCTTTAGGACCGCTGCATTGTGGGTCCAACCCACGGCCAATTGTCGTACATCCTCCTCGAATTGAAAGGCATTGGATTGCCCGAACTTATTGTCTCCCAACGTTAGGATTCTCTTTGTGCTGCCACGACCTGACTCGCTTAGATCCACGCACTTCAGCAGCATATGGTTCTGACCACTCGAAATGGAAACTATCCGCAGTTCGTTAGGATTGTGAACCTGTATCTTCACCGTATTACAGCGGTGAAGGCAGGTGGCCGTTATGTCCAATTCGATGGGCGGTGGATCCATGATCCTTAGTCGTCCGAAAACATAGATCTTGTTGTCCTGCGTGAGGACGGCACAGTGACGCAGGCCAAAGCTAATCCTCTGGGCGGGTTCTTCCCGTGGAAGCTTCACTGGCATGGGTCTTCTCACGGCTATAAAACCACGCTGACAAATCCCCAACTGCTGGAAGGCGTTCGAGCCCCAGACATAAAGCCTTTTGGTTAGCGTAATGGCACCCGAAATGTCCCAGCCACAACTGATGGTTTCCACAGGCACTTCCTGGAAAAGAGATTTTCTTTGAGATGCAGATTCCTTAGGAAGATTGAACGATTTTCTCGCTTACCCCAAAGAACTCGGTAGGAATCATCTTGAACTCGTTATGGCACTCCTCTGTGGAGTCCAGTCCAAGTTGACCGCGGTTGTTCCATCCGCAGGCATGAACCCTTCCATTTGTGTCGAGGATGAGGACGTGGCCACCACCTCCACGAATGAATCGAACCTGGGGGGCGGCGAAGGAGCACCTGGTCACCCGTTGCGGTGTCATGCACAATTCGGATTCAAAGCCAAGGCCAAGCTGGCCGTGAGAATTGGCACCCTAAGACATGGCGGAAAAAAGGGCGCAAACCCAACCGAAGGAAATCACTCATTAATTTGCAATGCAAATGCCCTGTGGCGATGTCTCTATTTTTTTGGCTTACCCTTGCAGAGGGTAATATAATTTTAGGCCTTAGTTTACGATGCAAGGTGGGGAGATCTATAAAATGCAGTGCATATGCTATACCCTTGAGTTTCTTTGATTGAGTGGAGAATTTTTGCAATACAGAAACTACTTTCTTTCTATATATCTCAAAGAAATCTATGCGAGTTTTACATACTTTGGATATTTTCAAAACAAGTTTGATGTCTGAAGAACATTTTTAAGTGAAAACATTTCTATCTGAAGGACAGTTAATGAATTAATTATATTAAAATTATTATTATAGAGGATTATATAATTATATTTTAAATTTTCCATTAATTTCTAACCAAATTGGATTGGAAGAGACACCACTGATAGAGTTCTTATCAATTCGAGCCACACTATATAGTTTTCAATGGAATACTTGGCCTATAAGGGTACTCCTGTCTTCGGTTACCAAAGTTCCTATTCGTTTCTTTTAAAAGCATGTAGTGTGTTCCTACCCAGGCGTACACCTCCATTTCGTTGACCACCAGTTGCTCCTTTCGCGCTGAACTTCCGGTTGTGGTTCGTCGCCGCGTTTTTCCCGGTGATTTAATGCGCCGCAGTCACGCCAAGAATGCGCCTGCAAGCCCGTGATTCCGACTCCTCGATGGCCTCCAGTGGCGCTCCTTGGGCCTCCAGAAACGTACTTCTGCCGTTGGCAGCTCATGAAAAACTGAGGCTTGGCTCTGCCGCTGGAATTACTTTTATATTTCGCGTTTCAATTAGTTTTTAGCGTCGCATGCACAAAATGTAAACAATGCAAATGAGGAGAGTTGCCAGACTTTCGCGCACAGCTGACTGGTTAACAGGCTCTGCTAGGTAACAGAGAAATGTTAATTTACCGCCATCAGAAAATTTAAACAAGAGATGATAAAATAATTTATTTATTAAGTAATAATTTAATGGAAATGAAAATCAAAGCGACCTCTAAGAACCAAACTAATAACACTTTGCTGCCATTTAATGTCTCATTTGGTTATGGTCATAACGATTATATAATCCCGCCGGATGGGCGTGAAAATCGTGTCAAGCGCATATAAATATATTCTAATTAAAAGCAATAAAAGTTCAGGGCGAAGGTTAAAGTGCATGCAATTTTAATTAAGTTTTAATTGTCGAGCCGGGCCCAAGAAAGCCACCCTAGTTAGCCACAATGTGAGTTTGGTCAAGAGAAAAACGGGAATTAGCTTAAGGAAAAATTAAAGAAACGAAGTTGGGATCTCCTAGATACATATATGTATACACAAAATATTGCACACTAATTTAAAATAAAAAAAATTAATTTTTTAATTTAACCCATAACAAGTATTAAGATTAGTAACTTACTAATATTTGATAAAAACAAACTAATGGAAAAGTAAACAAATACGAGACTTTTAAAATAATTTAAGATAAAATAATTATATTTTGATATAAAATGGAAAATTCTAGTATGAAATTTTTCATAAAAGGTGTTTAGAATTACCAAAAAGCTCATGCAAAGTCATAAGCTTACAGGTGAACTGGTTTTTAATTACACCAAAATCACAGCGCTTGAAAGCCGAGCTACACAAATGGGCAACTGGCGCTAACAGCAGGACATTACAAAGCTGCAATGTTCGACTAGCATGCAATGTGGGCAGGACCTCCTCCTCCTTCTCATGTGAAAAATGCACTGTGGGTCCGGATTTGCAATTCAAATATGAGCCATACATTCAAACGGCAAAGGTTGCTGGTCGCCCCTAAACGCTAGAAATGAATACTGATGATTTTCACCTGATACCCGCAAATGAAGAAAATCCATGCAAGAAAAGACGGCAGCTCCACATGCAATCGAGGGTGCCCAGAGGCAATGGAAATCTCTTTCGAATTGCAATGGCTGTCAATTAAAACCACAGCGCGAATTAAGCTGTCCGCCATTGAATTTGAATAGAGAAATTCAATGGAAGGCTGAACTGTAATTGCCCAAGTTGAAAGGGGATATATGGGTAAAATATGAAATTGAAATTCTAGGGCATTCATAAGTCGTTAAGCTGGTTTAACTTTGTACCTACTTTTTTGTGAGTCCAGTATGAATTGTTATGCCCATTTCGTGGCGCGAATATGACGGCTTTATACGAGTGCTTTCCGTTTCGCTGTGGTCAGCTTGGAAATATATGACAGGAAAACCCCATAAAGCTATTAAAATTGAAAAATGAACTCTTATTAATTTGAGGTAATACAAAGTAGTCTTTTCTTAATTAATAGACTCTAAAATGCTGAAAAAGTTTGCAGTAAACTTAAGTGAATTAAAAAATTCAAGACATTAAAACTTAAGTTTAGACTTAGAAGATAAATTACTTTCACCATAAATAGGTTCGTTGATTATTATCATAAGGAAGCAATATTTTTAGCAAAAAACATGTACATAAAACTACCAACATTTTCAAAATAGTTAATTTTTGGCGGTAATTTAGTAACAGATAAGAGTTATCGCTGTACTGTAAAACAACAGTGCCAGTGTTGCTAAGCATCTATAGCCCGAAGTTGTGCAGCACTGTAAAATAAAAGCCCGCCAAAGATTCGAATTCAAATATCGTTCTGTCATTAATATTATCTTTTTGTCATTCAAGAACCACGTGCAGGATCTTTGTACGGATAAGTGTATTTCGAAGCCCTTTTTTATAAGGCTTTACTTGCATTCGCGCGTTCATGTTTGTGCATATGAGAGTGTGTTGGCTCCCAGCGGAGTAATTTAAACGTAAAGGACACGTGACTCCATTTCCTGTATGTTTTTGGCATCTTTACGACTTTTTGTCTGTTGGTTGTCACATTTTTCTCGGTTTTTGTTGCTCCTGCGTGTTGACTTGGCTTCGTGTGTGTTGAGTTGTCCTTTTGGCTAAAAACAAA